ATGATTATCCCATGAAAGAGTGTTGCTGATGGAAATACCGAGCATAGATATGGTGGGCTTGGTGGGGATGGTGGAGCCAGACATTACAATATCGGGCATACTGAGTTCCGCCTTTCTAGAGAAAATGCAGGCTTGAGTTTTGGTGGCGTTGAATTCAACTAGGTTGTTTGTTCCCCAGGCTGTGATTTCAGCAAGATCTTCATTGACAGCATTGACCTGCCTGCGCCGTGAGTTCTTAGTTTCCTGGGAAGAAATGGGAATCCTAGAAGAGAACGCAGTATGGAGGGTACTATCATCTGCAAAGCTATGAATGGGGCAAGTTGTTACTTCCAACAGATCATTGATATGAAGCAGGAATAATGTTGGTGCCAAAATTGATCCTTGTGGAACGCCGGAATTGATGCCAAAGGTATCAGACGATACACCGTCCACCACCACGTGAAGCGATCTGCCTGAAAGAAAACTCGATAAGAGATGGCATAGCTGAGGTGGTAAGCCGTATGATGGTAGTTTGTGGAGGAGTCCTTCGTGCCAAACACGGTCGAATGCTTTCGAAATGTCCAACGCGACAGCTAGAGATTCCCCGTGTTTTTCTATTGAAGATTGCCATAAATGGGTGACGTAGGCAAGTAGATCTCCAGTAGATCTTCGGTGGCGAAAGCCGTATTGTCTATCATTGATGATTCCTGAGCTCTCCAGATATTTGATAAGCTCGATATTGATGGCTTTCTCCATCACTTTGGAGATTACTGATAACAGGGCAATGGGCCTGTAGTTGTTGGGCAGGTTCTTGTTCCCTTTTTTGGGGATTGGTTGGACTCTAGCTGTCTTCCAGCATGATGGAAAAATACCCGACCTGTACGAGATGGTAAACAACTTGCAGAGAATCGGTGTTAATTCTGGTGCACATTTTTTGAGGATAATGGGTGGAATTCCATCAGGACCGTTAGCCTTATTTGTTTTGAGACCAAGCAAAATTCGTCTGATAGTGCGTTGACGGAAGACGATTTCGGGCATTCGACTCTCAACGGGTGGAATGTCTGGCGGCAGTTTTCCTTGGGAATCTAAAGTAGAGTTTGCTGCGAACATCTCTGCAAAAATATTTGCTTTCTCCTGGGATGTTGTTGCTAATGTGCCGTCGGATTTGATATAATTTAGGGCAATATTTTGAATATATAGGTATATTTCACTTCGACATTTTTCGCGCATTGAAAATGAATGTTGTATCAACTTCAAAGTGTGAGAATGATCAATATGATTTATCAATATCCTGAAAAGGCGCTGTTCAATATGTTATAGATATTGTTTGTAGATATTTCTGTAGACTTCTTTCTCAATAACTACTAGATATTATTCGCCAATATCCACATACATATATGTAATAATATTGGCCATCGATATAATTTCCGACATTATTTTAAATATGTGTCGATATTTTTAATCAATATACTACTTTCATTCATTATCTATCTCGTATCAACTTCCAGTTATGACATTATTCAATGGGATCCATCAATATCACATTATACTGATGTTCAATATGAAAGATATATGTTTTTGTAGATATATCACAATATCTATTCAACTATAATGTCCATATATAAGTTTTCGATATAGCTCTGAGCTTTATTTTTGATATTTTTCAATATTTTTTTTCAATTCACTCCCCACATTGGAATATCATTGTTCTATAAACTTTCGAATACGACATTATTCCATATATGATCATCTATCATCCCAGCATATTGATGTTGGATATAATATTTATATATTCCATAAATATATCTTGAATATCAATTTCCAATGATCACCACATATTTTCAACCAATATCCGCATAACTATATTTTATGAATATTTAATATTGATTCTGTTCCAAGCATACTGTTCAATATTTGTATATATTTGTTTTGAATCTCCTGTTAATATTATGGATAGATATTGTATCAACGTTTGATTGATAGAAACATGAATATCATCCATCAATACCTAAGCATACCGATATTTCATACGGAATATATATTCTTTGGCGATATGTTTGAGATATTGTTAATAAATAACCCGCCCATATTCCTACCCAATGTCTGAGTTACTATATAGTATGAATATAAGATACTGATATAATTTGAAGCATTCTTTTGGATATGTGTCGATATTTTTTTTTTCAATTAGTCTCAACATCAGTCATGAATGCAATAACAAGATTATTTCTCATTATTGATCTATATTTGGTGTCAATATTTATAATATATCACTACGTGGTGATGCCAAGAATATTGCTCATCTTCAACCTACTATATTGTTGGTCAATATCGATGCGCCATCAGTTACATATATAGAGATGATGAATGATTCTCAATCAACGCACTTCATTGTTTTTTTCATATCAACAAATCAATATTGTAGGATGATTATAAATCAATATTATTTCAGATATTTTGTTGAATGATTTAACAATCTTTTCATGAAACATCGAATCAATATCGATCTACAATAGCATGTTGAATGTTTGGATCCAATATTGTGCCTACTTGATTTCTCGATATTGCGCCAATTTTTTATCTATATTGGTCCAATATCGGCCCAATATGAGTGTGCTACTTGGGACAAATACCCTTGCTACTAGCATATCGTATGAAGTTCTGTTTCATTTTTCGCTCTTTATTTCTAAGAAAAATACGAATTCTGAATATGATGAACGTATTCATAAGTTCTGGTTTCAAATTGTGGCAATGTGGAAAAATAAATTTTGAAATTTCAGACAGATAGTGCTTCTTCAGTTCATAATTCGCTCCAGCAGGAATAATTGCTATTCATGAAAGCGTGTTTCTCCAGTTTTCCAGAATACTTTTTATTTCATGAGTACTCCTTTCCAGCTCGACAATTTATCTCTTCAGTTTTTTGAACAACTCCTACTTCTTCTCAATTCGACTAAGTATCTACCGAGGGGTAAACAGCTGACCGAAATGTGCACACTAGAAATCAATTTCTGCGGAATTGATTCAGAAATCCAAGGAATTCCATTTGTACATCCATGGAAATCCATAGATATGCATGGAAATTCATGAGAATTTGAAGAAATATATAAAAATTCATAGAAATCCATGGAAATCCATGTGAAAATCCACAAATATTTTGTATGTTCAGATCGTTGAGATAAGATTATTCAAGTTATCTGGATAGAATAATTATTATTGTGGAATTTTAATCAGGTACGTTCAATAAAAACTCAGACACATTAAGTAAGTATCGCCTTTGCAAGATCAAGGTTCAAGTTCTTGTTCGTTCAGAACTTGAACCTTGAAAAAAAAAACAAAATTAACAAAAAATTGTAGAAGAAAAATCAGACATTAGATGGATATGAAAAGAAGACATGAATAGCTTATTTGTTCCTCATTTCAGAATAAATTCGACTAATTATCTCTAGCTGCAAATCATTCAGTTGTGAGACTCCAATGTGTTCATCGGCCTCTATCGGTCCATAAAAAATTTATTTTCTCAGAACTGTGGGAATATCATCTGGTTTCTTCCACAAGAATTCTATTCTCCCTCTTTTCAAATTTCACTACATATTCTCTATCAACGATTTCAGATATTCAGCTCATATACCATCGTTCTTCGTAATGAATAGCAGAGAATTTGACACATTCCGGTTGAATAGAATCTGCCAAGTTGCTATTTGTCTCATCTGCTGTAAGTTGACCGCGAGGAATCTCATCAGAAGAAATCATATCTTCATCAGTTTCTTCAGAAAAATTCTGTGTCTGTACTATCATCGTATTCAACACTCGATTCGTCATCATCTGAAGATTCGGAATTCAATTTTTTGCTTGTGTTCTTCTTGGGTCTCTTGATTCGCAGTCGTTTCTTCTTAATCGTCTCAATATTTGATGAACTCTTCCTTGGAGCAACCGAACCGTTACTAGAATTGCTGGTAAAGAATCTTCGTAATCTATTAGTAGTCACTCTCTGTATGGTTCCTTCTAACAGCCAGCATAATGAAGGTTTTTTGACGATAGTTGACTTTCCGTTTGCTACCGTTACCCGTACGAGTGGCCCCTCTTCGGAAACGGTATCCCTTTCTTCTGGCATCAGTTTCAGTGAGAAATCCTTCGATTAAAGTTCTTGACCAGTCCTTACCACATTTGAACTGCACATATCAGTGTATATTCCGGAATGGCAATCAGCTAGGATATCAGAGAGGTCACAGTTTTCTTCATCCGGACTTTTCACCATTGGCAACATATTGAAAGTCTCAAACCCATCAACATCTGTAATAGCTAAATCGTGAATAATGTTATTTCCAGTAGCATCTTCTACTATGATAGTAGTTCAAAATGCAGGTGGAACATGATTCCCACTATCTTGCGGGACATCCAAACTTTGAGAAAGCTGTATCATATTATCATGTAATGCTTGTTCGATTGAAATCCGAATGGAATTATCTGATAACACTTTCAAGACAATCATGGTGCTTGCCTCTTTCTTTTTTTTCCTTCCTTCTCTAGAAAAAAAATTTGAGATGATTCGTAATTTTATTGATAGTTGTGATTCTATCTAGTCTTCGAAATTATGTCTTCGATACTGAAGTTAATCACAGTTTAATTTGTCGTTGTCATGGACCTCGTTGCTCTGAATGTCTTTTCGCAGGTCTGACTATTGAGAAGGTGAGAAAGAAACATGTCATTTGTGAGATTAAGGTTCTCACGAAAAGTATTGCAGAGATTGATGAGAGCATGAGCAATGAATTTTATGCATAGATACAGGTAATGCGATTGTTTGCTTTCCTGAGAGAAGATTGATCTTCAATATATCTGCGCCAAATATGCAAAAAAATACACAATATCATATTTTGTATTGCCGTTCATTTACATTTGAAGAAGGATCCAAGAAAGATACCATAGCATACTGCATCAATCCAAGATACGGTCGTGTACCTTCACTTTCAAGAATATTTTTATGCAATTGTATTACTGATTCAGAGCTCATCTCTCCTGCAGGTCTAAAGCACATTTTTTTCTTCTGCTCCCGAATCTGAGGCTGTCAACAAATGTTCATCTTTTGAAAAATTATCAATTAGCTGCTCCAAATCCTCAGGCTTCGCAGTGAATGATCCAATTATCAACGTCACCTTAAAATTGGGGAATCTTGTGCGTAGTTTCGTTGCAATATGTACAGTATCTTGTACATAGGTCACGTCAAAGGAATCATCCTTCTTGTATCCTGCTTGATACCATTGCCTCATATATGTACTATCATCGACTTATAGTGAGAGTGGAGCATGCTGACGCATTATTTTCAAGAGCTGGGTGTCACCATCACTGGGTGGAACCAACTAGCTTGTTGATTTTCTAGTCATATTCGATTGTGCCAGTAACTCGGGTCGTCCCGTCTTCACCTATCCTCACTACCTTTGGCAGATTCCTATCTTCAAGATACTTGCAAAGTCCATCATAATCGGAAACTCCTTCTTCGGACTTCTCGCTGGTTTGACCTAAATAGTAGTTCAAAATGCTCATCGATGGTGGAACGTCCTTTATATTTCCGTTGATCGTTCCATATAGCAGCCTTTCACCGATGTATAATAAATTCAGACAACATTTTTTGGCATCGTCATTGTAATAATAGCGATTGCTTGAACTGCTTGTATTTTGAATTCAAATGTCAATCAACATTCTCAACAGTTGGCTTCTATATGATTTGCTGAAGGCTTCCCCTCGAACTGCGGTAGCGCTTCTATACATTTTCCATCAGTTTTTCTTTTTCAGCAATCAACTCGGAATCAGTCATCGAATTCATATTTTCTTGCAGAAAATCAAGAGGAGGGGTTTCATCAGCACTGGAATGAATCATTGCCTGAACAGCTAGTTGTGAAATCACTTGATTACTAAAAATATTGATCTTTGGTCCAATATTTGGTGAATGTGCCTCTTGCTCAACAGTTCCATATGATCCTGTCCATTACATGGGGTAACAAATTTCTACTTTCTACCACTCTATTGTTCAAATCCGAAATGATGTCGAATCATTTCGTGCAGTTGATCATTGAGAGCAAGAAGAGTTCGAGGAGTCAGTGTTAATGTGAGTAGTACCACGACTTGCTCCTGACATCGTGAAAAAAATCATTATTTCTGGCTGTTTAGAGTGCTGTTTCTTCATTTCCAGATCTATTTTGGTGAATTCATCAACCGGTCGGTTATGTTCGAATGGATTTTCAATAGATACTGCATCATTTGACGAATTGGAGTATTCGATCAGATGTTCATGAAAGTTTCCATAAACCCATCTCTCAGAATCTCTCATTGTTTGAGCGGACTACAATTTTATTTCTGCTCATACGATGACACGTCATGGTATAGCACAAGTCGTTCCGCGTATTTTCTATTATTTCTAAGGACATCTGTGAGAATTTGTCTTCGAAGTATCCATTACTTATCAGAGGTGCATTTGCCCTTGATTCTATTTCTCACCGTTTGGGCAACTTGTTTATTCTCGCTGGTCAAATCTGCAGCTAAAATAACAGATGATGAGCTCGCAGATTGAGAAGGATTTGAAGAACTGTATCGTAAATTGTTCAATGTCCTCCGTTCATCAGTCTGAGGTTTCATCTCAGATCTGGAATTGCGTATCTTGAAGTTTTCTTCGAAGAAATCTGTAATCAATAACAGCAGCTTCTTATAACCAAGCAAAAATTCGAGCTTTTCAGATTTTGTATATGGAAATGCTGTAATATTGCTCATATTTGCTTTTTGGGATCAATTCTTGAGTTATCTCAGATGCCATGAATTTCTCCACATCCTTAAAATCTTCTTCAGTGATATCGAGTATTACGACAGCATTGCTGCATGCGTTATTCTCAACACACTCTTCAGATAAATCGGTAAAGAAATCTTGAGAGCCTCTTCAACTTCGCGGAAGCAGTCCTCTCTCGAGGTCCATTCTGAACAAAGACAACTCGTGTTAATTAGACAGATTATCTAAATAAGGAGATTTATTATTTATAACTCAACTTTCTGATCGAAATTGATAGAGAATAATCGAGAAAAAACATACTGAAAGCCACTGCTATTCATCAAAATAGAAGAACTAAAATACATAAAAAAGCCATACAAGTATGATAAATCAATGTATGTGCATTAAACGCTCTACGAATTGAAATGATCTTAGCGCAATTTGAAGAGGTTCATCATTATCATTTTTATGTTTGATGTGATACATAATATTTTCATTGGATATTCAGTAAGATGTCTGAAAAAGTTGAAAACACCATTCATTTTAGGAAAGATGGCATTCCTTGTTGAAAGTTCTGTAGGGCCTCAAACCGAAAATGCAAATATCATACATAACATTTTTTCAGTCGTGTACGAAGTATTTCAAAAAATATCAACTCCGCTCAAGAGTGAAATCGAGTGAAATATATTCATTTTCGACTAAATCAAGAATTGTTATTGAGGAAGTTGACAAGTATTGATTCTAATGATCTGAATACATCTATCTTCTATGAAAATCAGGTTTCATTATTCTTTCCAATTTTTGCATGATCGATTAAAAATAAAAAGTTCTCCATTATCAATTCCACTGAAAAACGTAATTTTTTCTAGAAATGATGATGAAAAAGTCTTTCAAAACAATGAATGTTAAAGAAATTATAAGTAATCAGACCTGATTTCCATCGAAAATAGATGTGATCAGATATTGGAACGTAGTTTAATTCTAGTCAACTCTTATTGAGAACAATTCGAAAATATTGGTACATACTCTAATCTTGAGCGAAATAAATTTTTTTCGACATACCTCGTACACGACCGGACAAATTCGATATTTGATATTCGAATCATACATACTGTATAAGGAATACATATTCGATATGATTCTTTAAACTCCACGGAAATATAATATCTTCAATTCAGATAACGTCCTAATTGTCGAGACTCGTATATCACATAGAATTATAAAAAATGATGAAGTAGATACTCAAGTTGTTTCTCAGTTCTCTATAGATTATTTTCAATTAATATCAATCAACTGAATGTTCATCAGACAGGAAGTCATACGGGAATCACCCGCACTGCAACTTGCAAAGAAAACTGGAATATTCACGTGATATAATTCAGTGGTGATCGTATGAGCCTATAGAAATATAATTATATTCCTCAATTTCCAATCATGATTATTCGAATATCTTATATCTCCAACATTGCCACAGATAGTATTCTATTTTATAATCGTATCCACATACGAGATCTGTTGTTTACAAATATAGCTATTTAACATGCACTGTTGCATCTGCGTCGTACATGGAAATCTATATTAATCCATATGAATCCATGGAAATCCATGATTGAAATTTCCGATAATTTTCTGTAGCGTCCATGGAGGTGACGTGACAGCAATGTCAGGGATGCCAGTAAAAAAAAACTAGATCTAGTCATGACAACCAAATTTGAAGAAATAGAAAAATCCACATGCGACTTAAGTGGATGATATCGATGATACTTCAGTTTCTCCTCTATTAAGGGGTAGAAGACGAGGTAAATATTTGAAATTCCAGAACGGACGTCTTTCTCACTAAATATCTCCGCCTCGCTCGTTCGATAGGCGCATCTTATTACCGCGAAGAAGACATACGAGGGGATGTCCAAGATTATTCGAGAGCGAAATATAGAAAAGCGAAGGCTCTTTAGATGCTGTGAGATAAGATGCCGTGAATTTTCAAAGCTGCTCTTCTGTATGATAGTTAGAAGGGTCATTTTATAGCATGAATGCGAAACTGCTGTTCTTTTTCTCACGATGATTTCATCAAAATTCTTTTGATCAATGCACCATATTTCTCGACTTTTGAGTGAAATAGGAATTTCCACAAGGATACAAGGATTATATTGTTATTGAATATATTCATCAGTTTGCTGTATATTGACCTATATGGGGAAGATGCTTTTAGAAACTATAGGACAAATTTGATATACAGGGCAATTCAGGAAGAGACTCACATAGCCAAATGGTGAGTAGTGGAAAACAAAACAAGTTGAGATTTCATGTATGAAAGATTCTGTTGGCCTTCAATAACGAATATATTCATTTCAGATATGATTCATCCCAATTAGGCAGTGACGTTTCTTTATTCAAGATGGCATATTATAAAAAATCAAATCCGAAAAACTCATGTTCTCTTGTTATATAGAAAAAGCTCATTTTGTGATCAGTTTTCTAGAAAAATTTCATCAGATTCAGGAAGATCAGACATAATGCCATAGGAACTGCTCTTCAATTTGCACGACACACTTTGATCGGTTCATTAAAAAATATGAAACAAGAACGTTCGAATGAATTTTCAATTTGAACCTAGCTGATAACTCTCTCATTTCAACTGGATTCATGTGAATTTATCGGAATTTATGATAGGAATCGGCAGATATAAGTAGTCGATAAAAAACCACAGAACTGCTTTTTTGGTCATTTGAAGTTTTCGTTTTTGATCGACATCGTGACTTGTTTCTCGTTACAAATATTGCAAATATCAATGAAGTAATAATGAAATAGTATAGGCGGTGTTTTTCATCATTTGACGTGACGTGACATCTGTTGATATTCCGGAAAGATGGGTACTGGTGAAATTATGGCATGAAGATTCATTAGGATGTTCTGAATATTCGAGATAATTCTGTCGCTTCCTTGTTCACGAAAGCTGCTGGGCAACACCACGACGAGTGGTATTTCAACACAATTGAGTTATTTAACAATAAAAGACAGAGTCATGAGAACATATTCAGAACGGAGTTGTGATTTGCTAGAGAGAGAGAGAATTTCTTATAAATGAGCGGTTCATATTCTGACGACAGATATAATTTTTTTATGCCAAACTGACAGTCTTTGAATTGAAAGACCGCTTGTGTTTTCGCGATTACCCACGTTGTGATGTGATTGATCAGATTATATAATAAATAAAATTAGTAAATTGTTTAACGAGCACGGAATGATAGTGATTTCCTACGAGAATAAAGTTTGCAGCATGAGACATTTTCGATTTCGTCGTCCTGTAGCCATTTGATTTCCTGTCAAGTAATGCTCATCTATTAGACAGCGGTGTCATTGCTCACATTTGACATTCCATGAGCGATGAGGTTTTTTTGAAATAATAACACATTGTGATATCAGATACGGAAATAATATTGATGATATACAAAGTACCTCATTGACGTATCAAGCACAGTGAAACGAGAGCAATTGTGTGTTATAGCCGTAGTAAGGTTTTACTCCTATACATATTCTTGGGTCTGTAAATCTTCTATGGTATTAAACATTGCAAACGTTTGAACTTTTTCCATGTTCAGCATCTGAAAAATAAAGTGACATCTTGAGTGCAAGAATCACACGTCACATCATGAAATAAAGAATAGGGCACGACTCGAGGCACGACTACTAATATCTACTTATCTAGAATTTCGATCAAGAACTATAACATTGCGAATCATCACAAAAATCAGTGTTAGTGGTACTGTGCTTTTTCTCGTTCGCTCTTTTCTGTCAATTTTTACCCAACAAAAATGTACAAAAAATCTATTTACATCAATCCAGTTGGAAGTACTGTTTACTTCATCAGTCAGGTCGAAATTGAAAATTCATTCGAACTTTTTTGTTTCATATTTCTTCATTGAACCGGTCAAAGTGTCGTGCCCTGAAAATGAAGAGCAGTCCTTAGGGCATTTCGTCAGATCTTTCGGATTCTGATAAGAATTCTCGCGAAAAGTGATCACAAAGTGAACTCTTTAGAAATCAGAGAAACATGAATTTTTCCCATGTCCGGATCTGGATTTTTTCCATAAGGTGCCATCTGGAATAGTTCCGATAAAGAAACGTAGCTGCAAAAGCTGCAAAATTTCAGCAAATTACAATGAGTCATATTTTCTAAAATGGCGATTTCACATCGTAGTAAATGGAATTTTTTTATCATATACAGCGTCCCTCACTTGAAAAAACGCTTTTCTCTTTCTTTATCTTAGTTATTAGTCGTGCGATTTTCACCAAACTTGGACTGGTATTCTGTATCTGGGGTTCTATTAAAATAAAACGGGGTCGATTTTCCATGAAAAGGCATCTTTCAACAGGAAAACGAACCTCATAATATTGTTCTTCAACGTTATAAGAAATTTCACATGAATTCTGTGGAGGGTATCAGCATCAGCATTTTGGCGAACGTAAATTAGTATTCTATGCATCGATCACGAGGAAACCATGTATATAGGAGTGTATTGATAGTTCAATATCATGATAGTTTCATACACTATTCTTTGTAGGACCACAAGTAGGAAGTGACAACTTCGATGGCCGGTATAGTATTAGTATTTCCAATATTTTTTAGACAATACGGGGAAATCTGAATGAAGTTATATCAATTTCATGAAATATTCACACGTATACACGAAAAAGATGAACTGAATAAATATGAAAATATTAATAGAGAAATTTGACATTTGAGACTAAGAACTTCCAAATTGAATCTCATCAGAAGTATTCATTACTCACCCTGTGTATTATAAATGAAATGAATGATTTTCGTAATCCCAGCGAGAACACAATATGATCAGATCGACTATCGGTAACTTCGACGCATGTAT